ACTCACAGTAAATGTAATTTGTATTTAATATAATATACCCAAGGGATGACTAAACAGGTATGCGACTGTTCACAAATGTAATTATGAGTTGCGAGTAAATTACTGTAAGTGTCCTTTTGTTAAAAAAATAATTCATTAAAAATACAAATGTACAATAAAAATAATTATACAAATATTATATTAATAAAAAATTTGCGGATAAAATGTCTAATTTTTAATAAATCTCAAATTAATAACGTTTTTATTGGTAATTTTCTACAAGTTTTATGTCAACGGGAAAACGATAACATGTTTTCAGACAAAACTGATAGTAAATAAAACAAAGGTAAACAAATTTAACGGTCTGATATCTAAGCAAAACAACTTTGTTATTTATAGTCTAAGTACTTAATAATAAAAAAGAACCTTGCTCATACAACTATTAATAGAATTTCTGAATTATTTGCATTCTGTATTGTTTTATCATAGTTCCAGAAAGAATACTAGCAATGCAATAAAATTATAGAATCTATTACTAAAAAATACTTAAAAGTATAAAAATCATTTCGTATGACATTATGAACACACCCATCTAATTTATTTACATTGCATTAAAAGTACAAATTCAATGAAATAAAATATACATTCGTGTATGTTTTTTAAAAATTAATTTAAACAAGCCCGTAAAAAATTCATCGTATGTGAACAAACAATATTAAACGTGTTTCTCGTGCAGTCTTAGCACAATAAAATTGTATACATTGCAAACTTATACATATTACAGAAGGGATCGTAGAAAATTCGTTATCTTTCCGTTACCGTTTATTTTCATAATGCATGCTCACTGCACCTAAACCTCCGTTGTTCTACCAGTTTCAATATGCGATAGAGCATTCAATATACATGAGTGTTCTCTCCGCAGTCTGCAGGAGGAAATGCGTTAGTAAGGTGGACGGACTGGGTTGTATGAATATAACAGCAGAGAATTCTTCTTGTATAATAGAGATTTAATAATAAAAATGTCTCGGAACTTAGGAGTGAGTTTTAGTTTTTCAATAAACGACCGCAGATTTGCCTAGCGGCTACAAATTCTTCTAACCCTTAAGTCCGCTTATTTGTTGCCACATTGCACGCGCCTCTGTCATCGTATTATCCAATGGTATACACGCCCATTGTCCTAAGGGCTCGACAGTGAAATGACGATGACTATTACTTCTCAAGCTCTCGTTTATTTCTTGCGGAAGAATCGCAACGGTTGTCCATGTCAACAATACATCCATTATTATTTTCTTCGAGAGAATCATCTGGACGAGAAAATAAGAATTTCTTTTTAGTATTCTCGTATAGCGCAGTGAGGTAATTATAATGATTTCATTTGTCATTAATTTGGACACGAGAAATTATTAAAAAAAAATGCTTTTCAATAATATAAGACTTTAGTCAAGTAAAACATCTAAAAATATCATTTAAATATTGTCTTCCACGGTGTTGCTAAGAATCGCGTACATATTGTTACCGAAATAAACAGTGTTGTTAAATACTATAAAATAAAATTTAATTTAAAAAAAAATTCACTAAATAAAATGGAGTGTTATTTTACTGGGAAGATACTTGTTGTGAACTTAATCACCATAATTTAATCGGCACATTTTATTTTGTCGAGTCTATTTAATTAGCATCCATCGGCGTGGCAATTTTAAGTGAGGTCACAAAAAGGGGTGACGGTATGCGTATTATTGTTTACGAGCCAGTTTATTTTTGGCCTACGGGGAGGTAAATAAATGCAGAAATGAGCGTTTTAATTATTTCCCATCTCTCGCCATGAGCATATTTCAAAACTGTGAGTTATTAATTGCTATGTGTTATTGTATTTGAACGAACATCAATTAGCCATACGACCAAACTAACACTTGACTCGTTGCGGGTACGTTATATTTTTTAATTCCAGACTGTTATCATCGAATAATCATAACAAACATAATGTTACGGGTGTGTTTACACAACGATTGTGGGATAAGGGAAAATTAAAACCGTTAAAATTCCATTGAGGTCGACCACCACGCACTTTGAGAAAGTTTTCCTTTACCCCTTCTCCATTTATTCGCCAATGTGAAGCATGCAGATACCGCTTTTAATACTCGCGTATGTACTCGTACAGCTTTTGTATGTATTTCGCTTTAACTTTCTTGACGTTATCGAAATTCTACGAGAATGTTATCACTCAACGCCCACTGGGATGTTTGAATTTCGCAATTGTCTTTGAAAAGTCTTATGTAACTTGCATTAGCATCGCCATTGCTATGTAATCGATTATAGTAACATCACATATCAGCTTAAAGCAGTAAATACCAAAATACCGCTACTATTCTGATGTTAATCATTTGTTATATAATCGTTAATATGTTTAGTACGGACGAGTTTTCTCTGTTTGAATACTATTCGTGTTCAACTCTAAAATATTAAAAGAATTTATTGAATTTCTTGGGACACACTTTTTAAATATTTATACATTTATAATCTGCTTTCTGCGGTATATTTTCGAGTTTAAAAGCCAACTATAAATACGTTCGAACTTTAAAAACCCACATAAAATACAATATTAGTATACTTTTACGGTATCGATAAAAGATCCTTTCTTACGAAGTACATTTTTATCGGTCTAAAGTGACCCATCAAAAATAAAAAAACAATTCAATCGTTTGTCGATATTCTTCGAAACCGATATAAAATATTAATACTTTCATATTTAGCCGTCGTCACATACTGCACACTTGTCATTCGGCGACAGACTCGACCTGAAACGAATGACCGTTTGTTACGACGTTTAAACGTCTCGTCGTGCACCGTGTTTAATTGAAAGTCAAGAGTTTATTTCAAATTCACACACAAACAAATCTCGTCGGCGACGTCTTAATGAACATAATGCTCTTTAAACAGCATGCAAGTTTGCGTGTTAACGGCTGAACATGTATATTGTATTAACGCNTACGACGTTTAAACGTCTCGTCGTGCACCGTGTTTAATTGAAAGTCAAGAGTTTATTTCAAATTCACACACAAACAAATCTCGATGGCGACGTCTTAATGAACATAATGCTCTTTAAACAGCATGCAAGTTTGCGTGTTAACGGCTGAACATGTATATATCGTATTAACGTGCAACGTCACCTCAGCACACACAGTGACGTCTTACATATTTTCCATTCAAATTGAATATTATCCTATGCCCAGATTAGTTCAAATGTCGTTTAAATTCGTTTCTTATGAGCAACCCTAATACTTCCCGTCGAATCGATATTTTATACCGTTAAAATATGCATTAGCTTCATGTTGTCGTCGTCGACCTCAGTGTGTACACTCGTGTCCAAGTCGACGTTAACCCGCAACTAGTGGTGAATTTATCACATACTTTTGCACTACCTGTAACACATTTTTATACGCCTCAAAAGTTGCACAAACTCAATTCCCGCACATTGTTGCGCTGCTTGTGAATTGTACTTAAACAAAACAAAATCTACAACCATAATGATAATTGATGGCATAATAAATGTACAATTTTTGTTTTATCGGTAAAAATGAACATACTTTATACATTAATATAACGAACGGGTAAACGTTATTTGTTATATTTCAAGATTTTTACGCGTTCTTGTAATCAAAAAGAAAAATCGATTAATAGCTAGTGATTTAGAAGAAGAATTTTTACAAAAGCAGCTAATCTCCAACGGACTAACTAGTGTTACTACAATTGAGTAAGGAAATAACAGTCGTAATCAGAGTCGGAAAGTATCCTGTACAGTCTGATAGGAATTAATCGACGGCCGTTTAATGATTTAAGACCGAGCTGCGTTTAATGCTCTTGTACAACAAATGCAGAAAGTTTTACAAATAAATGTACAAAATTAGTCCATCTAATCGAATGACTTATTCAAAACGTTACAAACCTACATTAGTATTATAGTTTTAATAAAGTTATACATTTTTGAAAACTCGGCAGTTTTAAAAAAATTGATTCGTTGTGGACATAAAAAAGTCACTGTGTATAGATTTAAACCCTCAAAAATTAAGAAGAAACAAATTTGTCAAACATAAATATATTTAAAGAGAGGGAATATTATTTAGCTTTCCAAAATCATTTTATATTACTTATGTCTGCGGCGTTTCATCACATTCGACAGATAAACTAAGATAATTTATTTATTTTCATTTGCAATAAATTTAATTAAACACTCGTGTTACAAATTAGTTAACATAATATAATGATTAGATTCTTTTTGCAATTCGTTTCGTTCGTTTGCGCGTAATTTGTAAAACAGGTAAGTATACAGAAACGGAAGAGTCGTATTTGTTTTAAGACTGTAGAATGCTGTCTGCAACTAGAATATTTGAACTTCCTGTGTTCTTATGAATTTAATATACTATTTATTTAGCGTTTTAAAAAATTACTAAAGCAACAGTTTGCATTTTTGATATTGAATCTCTTTATATATTCATATATATATTTTCGGTTTACGGTAAAATCTAATGTCACCTTTTATTAATAATTTAAATGTTATAGTGTCAAGTATTTTTTTGAAAGAGCTGCTTATTCGGTCACGTTTATAGTGCAATATGGACAAAAGCCAATAAAAATAACAACTAAAAACTAGGAATGCGATGTTTCTTAGTCGCCAAGTAGACTTAAATGTAAAATAAAGTTTCGAAAATTTCGTTTTATTCTATTAAAAAAGATTTCTAAATCGTTTTTCTAGCTAACCATGAAATTCATAATACATTGTTTTTGAATTTTCGTTTTTATTTATTGTGTGTCAAAGAGATTTCTCGTTAAATTAATTCAGAAGTTGGCACTATATTTTCACCGAAATTCTGTGACGTTTTTCAGCGAACGCGGTCCAATTTAAAATCTTAAATAAGCATTCTATTTTTTTCTCTACTTTAAATACTTCGATTTGTTATTCATTTCTACCAACTACAAAAACGTTAAAACAGAAATAAATGTTTATCTCTATGAGTAAAATTTACCTTAACTGGACACCTGAACGGTGTTCAAACTCGGTATTCCAGATACGACGTCATCGCGGTTTGTTGGATGTCACGATGGTCATAACAATAAAAAATAGATAGTAAATTGTTTTATTCGCGATGTTTCCGACGGGAACAGTAAAACAAAAATAAAACACGTGTCCGTTTTAAAAAAAGGCCATGACGGCCACGCTCGATCGTGAAATACGAGAATATATATCCGATAATGTTTTAAGTACCGCGATAGACAACGTACTCCCAAAACAGCGAATGAGACGCAACTGAACGACCCTCTACAAAATGCCGGTTCAAAGGGTGCCGTTTAACTGAATCCGAGTGGCGGCGCTCGGAACAGACTTCAATTCATGAATGTCGCTCCATAAAAGTCAACTTGGAAAATCAAATCGAATTGAATATAATAAATTTGCTGTGGCTTTTTGTCTGTTTGACGTCACAAGATTATGATCGCGATTAAATTTTAGTTTTTCAGTCAAGTTTCCTTGTTACATTTTGTTACAATGCCAAAAATGACTTTCGGTGTTCCTTTGCCAAGCGATTCATAAAAAATACAACGAAATTTCAATTACCTGTAGATTCTCCACTAGAATTATTCTCCTGTTAATTTTTTTTTGCTATTTATTGTTCTCTTATGGTCAGCTACTGAATATTTAATCCAATTGTCATATTGACGTTTTTTTCCATTCTTTGCGAAGTTTTAATGAATTATGGAACTAACAAAAAGTTATATATTAAAACTATAAGACTCGTGAGACCTGAATGAATTTTTTTTGAGTGTGCACAAGTTATACAAACTTCTGTTCACGATTGACTAATTCCATATTACTCTCTGTATTAGTATTGGGGTAACGTTTTGGTTGTAATAAATTATTAACACATAGTAATAGTGTCATATTAAACTTACTATGTTGAGTTTTGTACTTCAATAACAACTTTTCTGTCAGAGACCAAAGTAAACACTCAAACGCGGTATGGTATTATACACATTTATTTCTGAAATTTAATGCAATGGTAGACAAGTCAAATGTATGGTTTATTTTTTTATATTTTGTAATAGTTTATGAAGCCAAATATCTTAATATGTTTTAAAATGTGTATGTTTTTCTTTTTTGTGTTATGATAACCAAAATTGAAAACACACGTTAATAATAAAACGAATTAATATTATTGTTATAAGAATTTCGATAACTACGAGCTAAAATGAACATTTTTAAGTTTAATAATCATTCGTCTAACATTTACTCGAGTTAAAATTAGACATATTAATTTTATTTCAGATTTAAAAGATATACATTTTATATATAATATATAATACATTTTTTTAATCCAATACGATATTGGTTTCTCTGTTATGTTTAAAGGACAGTCACCCTTATTTTTCTTACACGCTTTAGGCTACTAGTAAATAAGCTATAAAATTACTTATAGGACATTAAATTAAAAATAAACAAAAGACTTATTTTTGATTAAATTTAACAATTATTTTTGTTAATCTGCAATTTTTTTTTTCCATGCTACTGCAATGTCTCGTTTAATCCATAACTTAATAAAACAACTCTTACCATTATGGTTTTCATCATAATATTTATTATTTACCTTTTTCTTGGAAATTAAAATAACAGAATCGGCTAAGTCGGGATAAATTAAAAAAAAATTCGTTTGATATTATCATTACTAGAAGGCGCACTGATTAAAAATAAATATTCAGTGCACTGATCAGGTAAACAATAGTTAAAATAGTCTCTGTGCATGTTAAACATTGTTTATCAATTCTAAAAATTATTATTATTATGAGCATATTATTATGTGCTACTTATTTCTATGAATACCATGTTGTTTCTTTTAGCTTTAAATATTAAATCATAAAAGGGAAATTTTATATTGAATAGTGCAAAGTCCATCAATAATAGCTAATAATTAGTTTTCATTCGTATTTATACAAAATGTTCAGTAAGTAAGTAAACAGATCAATTGTTATAAACAATGAGAACAATAGAAATCTGTTTCCTTACTTACTGGACACCTAGAAATCAGATGTACATTTACTTTTAGAAATCAACAATTATACAGCCATCAGAAAATTTTTAATTATCCTAATTATAGCCAATCCTTTGTATCTACCTATACAAATAGTTTATTATGGTTACGTTTACAAAACATCTGGAAGCAGTAGGAAATAGTTGCATTAAAACGAATTAAAATAAAAAATAAATACTGCAATTCGTAAGTAAGAAACGGGCATTTCCGTATTTGAGTAAATTTCACAAACAAAAATTTATATAAGCTACTGGTAATATTATGTTATACCTTTAAGCTGTAAGTATACAATATTATTAGATACTATTTTGACTGAGCAATATTACTGAATATAATTTTTGAGTTGCAGTGTTCATTCTGTGTACTTGGTGGGCATCAGACGGGACTTTGGGGACGGATATACTATCCCCACATGGTTCGGCTCAAGTATGCCTACGTTTTTGGATATTTTTTATTGCCACACCGCCGAATGTTCAACTTTTTTTTATATAAACTGCACGTCCATTACTATCCGGGGACTATAATATTGTTTGTAAATAATATATGAACCCAGAGAGCCGTGAATATTTAATGAGCAGGTGTATTGCGATAAAAATAAAAGTTGCAAGCGATTTTTCTGGAGCAAGATATTATAGAGAGGAAGATAACGAATGACTCCTCTTGTACTTCAATCAAACACTCGAGTGTCTCCAAAAGTGCGCAGGATTGTACTAATACGAACAAACTTGGTTGACAGATAAAAACTAATAACCTCATATGCCTCGTGTTATTACACCATTGTATTTTTTTTTTCGACGTGAACACTAAAAGTGTGGTCATAACTGACATTACAGACCAACCCGTTTGTATAATTATATACAATTATAATTGGTTTGGTGCACGCAAATTATAATATTTATACATATGAAATGACCTTATTGCATGTGACGATGATCTCATATAGCACAATAATATTGTCGCCGTCCCCTTGAGTCGACACGCAAAATTTGCTTTTTAGAAATATTGCAGATATTTGATAGGCACAAACTGGGAGAAAATATACAAATTTGTATTAATTTTGAGTATCAGTGGGCATCATTTTGTTTTTTCTTCCCGTCGTTACTAATAATGCTAATGGATTTTATTCGTTTGTTTGTGGTTATTGTGACCGTGATGATGAAATACTTGATACTTTAAGACTCCTGAAAAAAATAATAATATAAACAGCAATTGATAATGATAAAATTATTATAACTTCTTCATTTGTATACAACTGTCGATAAACAATAATGTACTTTGTCGTAAGGAACGTTAAACTATAACATTTACAAACATCAAAATATAAATGGTAAAAATTGTAATTATTTTAACGACAAAGTCAGACAATCATTTAGTCATAACTATTTAATTAACAAAAGGTCTTTTTAAGAAAAAAAATTAATTTTCCTGATGTCCAATATTTATTTCTCATTAAAAAATATATGTTATTATTACTCTATACAATTCATGATTTATTTCACTTTTTATAAAATAAACTCTTGTGTGAATTTTTTTTTCTATAAATAAAGTTTTCACAAATCGGGAAATTAGGACAATACTTTATTAATTTGTGTTAAGAATTGAGTAATTGGCTTAATTCGTACTGCAGAATTTTCAGAAGATAATGATAGTAATAGGTCTAATCGATAAGTTTAAAAGATGCGTTTATAAAAATAGTCCCTATTAACATTTTTTTTTAATAATGCTTTATTAATGTTATAAAATTGTTTTTACAACATTATTTTTAAAAATTGCTGTTTGGGTAATTACATATTAGGCGTTTAAAAAATATCTTCATTTCATTCCAAACAAAACTTTTAAAACTGAAAAAAAAATACAGTGATCGGTTTATCATAAAATGATCAACAGTAACCAATTCAAAGTAAATATGGTGGTGAAAAGTGGGTGTTACTATTTTATCTCTAGTTATTTTTCGGCCGTACTCTTCTTCGTGTCTATGTATAAAAATGAGAATAATTTTTTAAATAATTAAATTTGTTATTGACTATAATTTTCTATTTTATAAGCTAATTAAATATGTATATAACCCTTAAAAATATGAAGTTGACAGCCCTATAAATTATAAGGGATGAATCTAAAAAGTAATTACTAACTTGTAAGTCATAAAATATATATAACTAAAAAAAAATAAAAAATTTATTTTTATATATTTATTTTGCAAGTAATCAATAAACTGACCACTCTGTATATTTATTTCACTTTCTTCTAAGTACCCAATTACATAGTGATTAATTTTATAGGGTTTGAAAATTGATGTACCATTATTTTTTAATATTATCATATATGGTCCGAAAATTTAAAATTTTATTTTAAAAATAAAATTTTACATAAAGTTTTTATTTAAAAAAATTTTACACTTATCTTTATTTTTTTTACGAGTGAAGTTATAATTGTTTAAATGGGTTACAAAACTAAGCTTATCACATTGATATGAATAATTTTAAAAGTAACAAGAACAATAAAACAATGTTTTATTTATCATTTTTGAAAGTATAAAAGAGAATTTCACAATTTATTATTAACCATTATTGTGAAAATATTTTATCATTTTTCAACTAAGAAAATCGTAATGGGATTTTTGCCAGTAAAAATGAATACAACATTGTTGATTGCAATTACAATAGTGGCATTAATAGTGAGTTATTGATAAAATAATTGAATATGAATATTTTTATTTTTCTATTAAAAAATATCGATACTTCTAGAAGCTATTTGTTTAATCAAAAGTATTATGTTTAAATCTAATTTATGCGTTTGTATATCTACAATAAATAAACTAACATACAGTGGCGTATTTTAAGGGTCGGCATATATTGAAGGCCAACAAATTTATAAAAAGAGAGTTATTTTTTTATTGTTTTTATGACATATTGACTTCCTAATAATTATCATAATAGTATTCATTTATGTGTAAATACGCCACTGATAACATAATAAAATCAACTACATACAAATATTTGTATAACTAAATTTTTAAAACATTGTAATATACCAAAAATATTAATTAAAAAACTAATAATTCTATAGAGTAATAATATATTATTTAAAAATCAAAGATATTATATTAACAATTTCTCTGAAATAAAAACAAGCCTCACAAAAATGTAAGAAAAAAACAATTTTTCAATACAAAATTCTAAAGAGTAATTTTTAAAAAAAATTTTAAGTTAATTATTAGAAAATACAATATAATTAACTTAAAACTAAATTTTTTTCTTCTCTTATTTTCTTTCTTGTTCTTTCAAACTACTCGAGTTCGGCCATTCTTATCATATGCATAGTTTTTAAAGCTAAAACTTAATGTTAGACTTAATAATACTCAATTAAAAGAATTAAATAAATTAGAAAATTAAGTGAAAAAACAATAAATAAATAATTATTTAATTGTTCTTGAACTTTATCATACTATTTTAATGATTAAAATATTGAAATAATACCTAAAAGAATAAAAATTTAATTTTCTCGAGTTAAATAATTATATACATCTAAATGAATTTTAAAGTAATTATTGTATAATTAATTAATATGATTTTAATGTTAACATTTAGGTGACTACAAAAGGGCAACAATTAAGTCAATCTGGCTGTATATGCACACAACACGGGCAAGGAGATGGCAAAAATAATGGCACACCAATAGTGCATACTAAAGATAACAAAGACATATTTGAAGTTTTCATCACATTTCCCGAAGATATAGTTTTGAAATTCTTCGAACAAAAAAAACTCACTGAAATAGTTGAGGCTTTCAAGAATCACATTAAAATTAAAAATGAACAAACAAAAGAGGCTTTAAAAAAGATCTTGTATCAGTTTTATTCTATTCATAAGCAAGTCGACCAAGATATTGATAATTTGAAGCAATTTTTAAAACAGAATGGACAAGGAGATGGCAAAAATAATGGCACACCAATAGTGCATACTAAAGATAACAAAGACATATTTGAAGTTTTCATCACATTTCCCGAAGATATAGTTTTGAAATTCTTCGAACAAAAAAAACTCACTGAAATAGTTGAGGCTTTCAAGAATCACATTAAAATTAAAAATGAACAAACAAAAGAGGCTTTAAAAAAGATCTTGTATCAGTTTTATTCTATTCATAAGCAAGTCGACCAAGATATTGATAATTTGAAGCAATTTTTAAAACAGAATGGACAAGGAGATGGCAAAAATAATGGCACACCAATAGTGCATACTAAAGATAACAAAGATATATTTGAAGTTTTCATGNTACTAAAGATAACAAAGACATATTTGAAGTTTTCATCACATTTCCCGAAGATATAGTTTTGAAATTCTTCGAACAAAAAAAACTCACTGAAATAGTTGAGGCCTTTAAAAATTACATTAAAACCAAAAATGAACACACAAAAGAGACTTTGAAGAAGTGCTTATATAAATATTATTCTATTCATAATGTGGTTGATCATCACATTGAAGAGTTTAATAATTTTTTAAATTCATCTATTCAAGGTTTTTTTGAATTATTTGATTCATATAACTATGAAATTATCTCTGGTTTTTTTGAACAAAGACAATGGACTGATATCTTGGAGGCTTACAAACATTTCAAAAGATCGAAAACTGAAGAATCTAAAAATATCTTTAAAAAACACTTATATCGATATTGTTCAGTTAATAAACTTAAATATCGTGATATTGACTATTTAAAAACACACTTGTCAAAACAATCCCGGTTGTAAAAATAATCATCATCATTTATCCAATAAATTGTTTTAATACTATTATAATAAATATCAATACTAGTTGCTAACATGCTAAATAGTTAAAATTTTACAACTATCAAGTTTTTTATAGCAATGTAAATTTTTTTTTAAAAAGTTAAATATATTGAGTTAACTTTTAATTAAACTTTAGGTACTTTTCAAAAAATTGTATAACAAAATAAATTCTTAGTTATAATCTAAATCAAAATTATTTTTATCAAATGTTTTAAATTTTTATATAATTTTTAACAAAATGTTTCTATTGTATTGTTCGTCTATGTTAAAATTTGTATTAAATGAAATTAAATTTATTCAGCTGAACAAATATTTCTTAATTTATTGTTTGTTTTTTGTAATAGTGATTTTGATTTGGTAATTTAAAGGATTTATTATTCAATAATAATCTTTTGATGTAAAATAAATAATATTATACGTTACAAATATTTGTTAGGAAAAAATAGTCTTTTCTTTTTACATGACTATTACAACGGTCATCATGTATCACTTGACAGACAATTTTGTGACAAACCCTTTTATATTTCGTTACGAATTGTTTTTGGAAAGTATAAAAATTCATTTGTCATATTTGCCCCGTCAACAATCTAGACTCGATGGATTATGTACTGGTAATGAGTTTTTGTTATGAGTATACCTTTACTGCTTCACGACACACACGTATGTCACTCGAACAGCTATTAAGGCCAATGATATTATCTTTGGTAGGAAAATTTTAAACCGCTCAAGTTTTTTCTTTTCACCATTGCTTATTTTTTACCTTCAACTGAGTGTTTCGTGACTGCGATCGAGATGATAACATAGATGTCACCGTATGAGAGAGAATAAGTGGCTTTTACCCTCTTTGTTATTTCACACTTGGCCTGGTAATTCTGCAGGCTAGTTACTTATTGTGAGAAGAATACATTAACAAAACGTGTTTGTAATGCAAATAGTAATCAAAAAATATTTAGCTTAATAAAAAGATGTTCAAAACATTTTCATATTTAAAATAAAATGTTACAAGTATTCATTACCATAGCAGTTTTTATCAATTTCTAAAAAGATTTCTTATACAAATTGATACAAAATAATCTAAGTAATTTATTATCAAAGAAATTGAAAAAATCTAATTTCTAAAAAGTTAGATAATGATAATAGATAATGATTTTCTAAAAATTTTTGGTTGATAGATAATTATTTAAAGGTGCATTTAAATAAATAAACATTTACAGAGTGATCAAAATCTTGGAAGACACTTATATTCATAGAAACTATTGAAAATATTAAATTTTTGAAAGTAGAAAAATTATTTAGTAATAATTTTATTTACTTAAATGGTTACCCCTATTTTTAACTTCACAACATAATGTCAGAATAATAAATTACAAATAGTATTATTCTTATAACATTTTTATTCATAATTTTATTAAACACAATACAATATTACTTATAAACAATACTTACGCTTAGTGACAACAAGAAAATAAATATACGCAGATGTAATATACATATAGTTTTTATAATCACCTATACACAAAGACTTTTTATGATTCCCGGAAGATAAAATAACTATAGGTCAATTCATATCAAATCATTTAGAGTGGAGTATATAAATAAAACGAATTTCCAAAAAAATGTAGGTAAAATGAGATTCATGACCATTCAAAATTTTGAAATTGGGTATTTATACTTAAGACTTGGCTAAAAATTTCATGACTGAGATTTTATTACTAATTAATTCAGTTTAAAATAAAGTTAAATAATATAAAATTAATGATACATGGGATTATATTATGGAATTTAGATGCCATAACATAAACTTTTCTTCACAGTGTTATCAATAAATTTTACATTAATAAACTTATATATACATATCTATAATATAAGTTTATCATAAGACGTGGTATTGCTTTTATGTAGTTTTTCTTTTTTAGCTCACTACTAGATGAATTTCCTTATAAGCCTTATAAATTTTATAAGGTTAGCAATATGCATAACCATAAGTACATAAATATTTTCATGAAGCTTTCGACATAGTTTGTTTTCGTCACAATAAAAATCATTAATAGTTTTCAAATAAACTGACACGCAATATTTACTATTATGATAAATTTTAAATGACATTTTTCTTATAAATATGTATTTATTGAACAGTTCATTATTCAAATTATTATTGATTTAATATAATTACAATTAATATGATTGATGTTTTGGTTAACCAATTATAAAAATAATTGTTTTTTTAAATTAAAAAAGTAATATCGAGTTGTTTATACGTTAATAAACGTTTAAATTGTGTAATAAGATAAGTACAAGAACAAATACCTATCTCAATTCGAGTAGGATAACATTAAAAATATTAGAATGACGTAAAAATTATTTATTTAGGTTTCTAACTATTCAAGTTGCCCGTATACATTTGCTGACATTACATGCAGGTACCAGTTTCTACTTTTTAGTCTTTAAAGCTTCGTAATACTTTATATTAACTCATCTTGTAATTATCTCATTTATGGATTTCTGATTGTAAACGCGTAAAATTATAGGATTTGGACATACAGAGTGATTCTCTGAACGCTAGCCATTTACAGTGATTAGTAAAACGAATCACCGTACATTATATTTCCGTGTAGTAAATCTAAAAACAACAATACTGCTTATATATGAATTCATTAATCAAAAACTTGTCTGAAATACTCTGTATATTATACAAATATAATTACAATATGAAAACATACGTTTAGCTGATCACACAGTTACTATAGTTTACTATAAATATTAGTAAACATTTTTTGTTATTAATCATCGTGTTTTCATCAATGCACTGATTAAATGACATTGGTTTTTGTTTTACTATGAAAATCAACCAAGTGTTCACTAATAATAGTGCAGATTTAATATTAGCCGGAAATTTGAAACTCGCTTATCGGTATTAACATCGTCACAAATTCAATCATATCAATAGCATTTGTTTCAACAATAACAAATATTACATTGTACAGTGTAACGTACGAAAACCAGAATAACGTGCTCAACGTACGCGCAATTCTGATATATTCTGAATGCTTTGCAATAAATACCTCTGTACATTACATAGTACAATCTTGAACAAATTTAAATAATCCAGGACAATTTTATTTCAGTAATTTAAACGAATATAATAAAATTGATTAACGCGAATTTCATTGTAACACAATATTAAAAATTCTTTAATGATGCGACTGTATATGGAAATCACTTGAAATCAAAGTTAATTAACCCCTAGAACAGTGATTGTGATTCTATTGTTACTTTAAACATTTGACAACAAGTTCACTAATATTTCTCATGTGTAATTAGACGGAAAAAATTCTTTCGATCTTATTGGTCGTCTATTAAAATAACTTCAGTTCTCCATGGCCATTCATTCGCTTAGGATGTATTTTACTATCAAATAAGTATTTACATTTCATAAAATAAGATGAACTCATAGTAGCTAAAATATATCCACATATTTGTAACATGATTTTAAGTATTGCCTCGTGACTTAATATAAAAGTGACATGATGAGGTGTTATGCGAAAAGCGAAACTTCCCGAAGCGCACACATTGGTGTACACCTAATATGTATTTATACGCTTATATCGAGTAAAATAAAAGGGGAAAAATGGATTAAATTTAATGGGTGCATCATTTACGTCCTCGGAGGACATATTATATTATTCGCGGATAATTTGCCTGTGCGAGGGGGGTGCGTAATCGGTGACATCGAGTCGAACTTCGTTTCACCAACCGTGTCCTTTTGTCCGCCGCTGCCAAACATGTGACAAACCCGTTAACGGAGTATACTATTGCTACCATCAACAACGGGATATGGATAGCCCATAGTATTCCCCCGACGACCGTTTTTCAATAATTCTCTTGTTTGGCGACTACTGTGTTCATCTAACAGAGTGTAGATAAACATGATCCTTTTCGGAATTTTTACGACGTCATTTTGCGCTATTTAAGTAGAAATTATTGACGCCAGAGTGAACACAATAACTTATAGTTTCTTAAGTAGATACTGTACACGAATACATTTGACACAGTGTTTCCCTCAGCCGCACATAACGTTATCAACCTATATGAAAGTTTACCAGGATCTGAATCACAAGTGTACGGTGTCCCAGTGATGAGGTTGGTTTCTTCGACGTCTTGGGTGGCGGTTTCTAATCCCGTACCATGTCTCTTTTTTTCACACGGTTTCCGGTAAACTCACTATGACCGGCCGTCGAACGTGTTACATTTGTCGGAAATCGTAAGCTCAAAAATATACTTATTGTATGTAAAAGCTTGATATTGAGAGTGTATTAACTAGATTTTTTATAGTACATTAAAATTGGTAGTCATATAGTATTAAAAAAACGTATTTTTTTTCATTGTGCCATTATATTTACGATAAGTATAATCACAAACCGAAAATCAAGAATTGACTGTATAATAATTAGAGTATCTATACCCAATGGCGGTCAAATGGAAGGGATTAGAGCAATAGATCTGCCCCATTGACATACTCTATTTGACATATTTGTAATTTTTCAT